AAAAATGCTCTCGAAGACAAAAAACGTCGATGACAAAATATCGTTGGCTTAGAAAATTTTGAGAGGCATATCGCTTTTTTTTCAAATGAAAATCTCCAATGAAAGCCAACATTTCTAAATCACAGTTGTGGAGTGCATGACACATTCAAGACACGCCAATAAAATCAAGATAAATTCAACAGAGGCGAGAGCTTAGGACTACTTGGATTTGGAAACAGCTCAGCCATAAAAATCAAGGACTAGAGCGCCACAAACTAGTGACTAAACCGTCCACCAGAATGGAATGAAATGCGTATAGCAAATACAATAAATACCGGCCAGGGCACTCAGTTTCCAAGTTTCTTGAAGACAAAATCGTTTCGTAAATAAATGTATTTCAATATCAGTGTTGAACTGGTCCCAAATAATGAATTAGCTATAGTCGTAGAGATGAATTAGACGCCCTCTCTACGGGGATGGTAGGGTGGAAGGCTTGGATCAATGTGTGAAATTGATACCGATCGGTGTTTGACCATCCCCCTAATTAATGAGGTTTTCCAGATTTCCCTCATTCCTTCACTGAATGGTGGTTAGGGCTTATCAACGTAAGTCGTTCCTAAGCGCACATGTGACCTACATAATAATAATATGCCGCCCCCTCTCCCGCACAAATCTCCGAATTCTGACATTTGAAATTAATTTTATATATTTTGTTTATTTTTCAATTTTGAAGTAGCTCTTGACCAGGATTAAACTTAAACTAGAATATTTTTTTACTATTCTCTCTACTATTCCCCTAATTTTTCTTTTTGCATTGCAGCACTAGGATGCTAAAAGGTAACACTTACTATTTGACTGGTACTATTTTTACAACCTTATTGACATAAACGACATATAGTTATCATGATAACTATATGTTAATGTTTTTTTATCGACTTTTGTTGTCGCTACTTACAGAGTTAACAGCAAATACCCTTTTTGTGTCACCCGACAGTTTCTTCAACTGCCACTATGCAAGCACCACATCCTCCTTCAAAGCACAATTTTTTGGTTCCTATTAGATGTAGGTTATCCCGCAAATAAGCGTCAAGTGTGGTTTCTGGTGTCACTGTTTCTACTTTAACTGCAAATAGAAAGACAAATTAAAATTTGGTCTAAAATGTTCGTGCTGCTAACAGAATTATATAATACAAAATATCAACTGAAAAAATACTATCATGTAGATAATCACTTTGAAATACTGTTTTTTAAAATTTCAGCCAAATATTATAAATACAACGTAGAACTTGGAACAAATAAAAATAATGAGTAAAAAAAATTAGTTAAAATTACAATCGTCAATGTAAATTTGTATCTAAATTTATAAATCTCTTTCCGACGTTGAAGTTTATCTCGTATTAAAGTGCACGATCATATCAAAAATTATTTTAAATGTATAATGGATTTAATGCGTTTAATCACTCAAATATTATAAAAACAGTATTTTTTATCAAACACACTTCGCACTGTCTGTTCAGGTATTTACAGGGACAACAAGTAATTAACAACAGGTTCTGTTTTAAGTATTTTTGGCAAGTACGTACTGACAATAAAAGCTGTATGATAATGTTTTATGTCCTACTATAACTGTGAACAAATATGTGAAATGTAAATTTATTATTTATTGTTGTAAAAACTTGATCTTTATTAACTACTTGAATTTGAAATTTTTTATTGTATTAAGTGTATAAATAATTTATTTAATATATTTAATATTGAAAAAAAATATAATATGAAACAAAAATATCTGAGTATTTGGGATGGCTAAAAAAGTGTGTCATAAACATAATAGGCTATTGATTATAGGATTTTAAAAGGAACTATGACGTTTAAGATATTTTATTACATGCATCGTTCAAATGGTCATTTTAGATTTTGCAGTTTTTTAAATATAGCACGAAAACGAAGCAAAATTTCGGCATAGTTCATAGGATAAATTTTGTAGAGAATTGAATTTCCCATCGAAATGGCTTCTTTAAAAAATTGAAAAGAAAAATTTTATGCGAAAAATCGTTAATAAA